GCAATAGCAAAAGCGGGGGGGCAGGACTTACCCTTGGGCTTGGTGTGCATGGAATGCTAGTCCGGTCGGGAAGGGAGAAGGTTGGTGAGGGTGGGGGTACTCCGGGGATGGGAGAAGGTCGGAGCATCCCGGTTATGACTGGGATGGGCAGATATGGCGGGAGCCGAGGGGCAGACCATTTTCAGGGAACAAGGACTCGCTATATTAGAGCGATTCCTTGTTCCGGCCCCTCAAAAGGCCCAACCTGTAGTACTGGTGACAGGAGAGTACAGGGCCCTAGTTGTAGGCTGCTGTTGCTTAATGCCAGGTCCATTGTCAACAAACCCCCCTTGTCCGTGATCTAATATTGGACAGGGGGGCGGACCTGGCATGTATAACCAAAACCTGGCTGGGCCTTGAGGGGGGGTGTTTCCCTCTTGGAGATGTGCCCGGCGGGTTTGTGGTGCTTCATCAGCCTCGACATCAGGGCAGGGGTGGGGGAGTGGCAGTCATTGCTCAGAGGTCCCTGAGTCCTCGTGGGATTCCTGCCTCGGAGATTGTTGGGTGTGAGTCCCTCGTATTGAAGTTGGGTTCATGGGTTCAGTTGGGCTTGTTGCTGATGTACCTACCTCCCAGCTGCGTTGCAACAGCCCTGCCTGCGCTGCTGGAGTCAGTAGCCGGGTTGGCGGTGGAGTTCCCTAGACTTATGGTACTGGGGGACTTTAATCTGCCATCACTCGGCAAACGCTCAGAGGCGGTGCAAGAGTTCATGGCTTCCATGGCAACCATGGACCTGACCCAGGTAATCCAGGATCCGACTCATAGGAGTGGTCACACGCTCGACCTTGTGTTTCTCTCGGGGCAATGGAGACATGATCTGGAATTAAGGGGAATAGAGACCTCTCCCTTGTTATGGACAGATCATTTCCTATTGAGGCTGGACTTCAGAGCATCACTCCCTCACTGCAGGGAGGTGGAGCCGATTAGGTGGTTCCGCCCCAGGCGCCTAATGGACCCAGATCGGTTCCAGGAGGAGGTTGGGGAAATACCTGACTCCCTTGTCCACAACTCGTCTGGGTCCCTGGTTGCGGCTTGGAATGAGGCGGCGTCCGGGGCCCTGGATCGAATTGTGCCTTTGCGACCTCTCTGTGGTAGTGGTCCCCGGAGGGCGCCTTGGTTTACTGAGGAGCTCCGAGAGATGAAACGCCACAAGAGACGTCTAGAGCGACGTTGGAGGGCCAGTAACTCTGAATCTGTCCGATCACTATTAAGAGTCTATCTTAGGACTTATTTAGTGGCGATAAGGGCAGCAAAGCGTGTTCACTTTTCCACACTTATTGCATCTGCAGAATCTCGCCTGGCCGCCTTGTTTAGGGTGACCTGCTCCCTTCTTAAAGTGGAGGAGGTGGAGGAACCCTTGCAGGGGAGAGCTGAGGAGTTTGTTCAGTTTCTCTCAGACAAAATCACTCAGATTCAGAGACACCTGGACTCCGACTGGGCAGTGCCAGCCGAGATGCCGGGGGCTGGTCTTAGTCATGTTATCTGGAGCGAGTTTGAGCCTGTGACCCCTGATGAAGTGGACAAGGCCGTGAGGGCAATGAATGCCAGCACCTGCTTATTGGACACATGCCCCTCCTGGCTGGTTTCTGCCAGTAGGGAGGCTGGCTTCAGGCGATAATCAACGCCTCCTTGATGGAGGGATCTTTCCCGCAACCTTTGAAGGAAGCGGTGGTGAGGCCCCTCCTCAAGAAGCCTTCCCTGGACCCAGCTGTTTTGAAGAACTTTCGTCCTGTCTCCAACCTCCCCTTTGTGGGGAAGGTTGTAGAGAAGATGGTGGCGTCCCAACTCTTGTGATCCTTGGATGAAACGAATTATCTAGACCCTTTTCAATCTGGTTTCAGGCCCGGCTCCTGCACTGAGACTGCTTTGGTCGCACTGACCGATGACCTCTGGTGAGCCTGGGATAGGGGTCATTCCTCTATCCTGGTGCTTCTTGACTTCTCAGCGGCTTTCGATACCATCGACCATGGTATCCTTCTGCGTCGTCTTGGAGAGGTGGGAGTGGGCGGCACTGTATTGCGGTGGTTCTCCTCCTACCTCTCTGACAGGTCACAGTCGGTGTTGGCAGGCGGACAGAGATCGACCCCTAGGCGCCTCGATTATGGGGTGCCTCAGGGCTCGGTCCTGTCCCCCCTCCTTTTTAACATCTACATGAAACCGCTGGGCGAGATCATTCGGCGACACGGGGTGAGGTATCATCAGCATGCGGATGATACCCAATTGTATATCTCCACCCCGTGTCCTTTCAGTGAAGCAGTCGATGTGATGTGCCGGTGCCTGGAAGATGTGAGGGTCTGGATGGGGGTGAACAGGCTTAGACTCAACCCTGACAAGACCGAGTGGCTCTGGGTCTTGCCCCCCAAGGGTCATCCTGATGGTCCATCATTAGCCCTGGGGGGGTAAATTTACCTCCCTCAGTGCAGGCACGCAACTTGGGTGTCCTCCTGGACTCATAGCTAAATTTGGAACAACATCTATCGGCTGTGGCCAGGGGGACCTTTGCCCAGGTTCGCCTGGTGCACCAGTTGCGGCCTTATTTGGACTGGAAGGCTCTACTCACGGTCACTCATGCCCTTGTCACCTCAAGACTGGATTACTGTAATGTGCTCTACCTGGGGCTACCCTTGAAGAGCGTTCGGAGGCTGCAGTTGGTTCAGAATGCAGCTGCGAGAGCAATTGTGGGTGCACTAAGGTACACCCACGTGTCACCTATCCTCCGTGAACTGCACTGGCTTCCTGTGGGTCTCCGGACGCAATTCAAGGTGTTGGTTATCACCTTTAAAGCCCTTCATGGTTTAGGACCAGGTTACTTACAGGACCGCATACTGCCGCATAGTTCCCAGAGACCGGTGAGGTCCCACAGATTGGGCCTCCTTCGGGTCCCATCGGCCAGACAATGTCGGCTGGCAGGTCCTCGGGGAAGGGCCTTTTCTGTGGTGGCTCCGACCTGGTGGAATCACCTTCCCCCCGAGATTTGAACTACTCCCACCTTGCCGGCCTTTAAGAAAACCATTAAAACTCTCCTGTTCCGGCAGGCCTGGGGTTGATGTCCCCAGGGGGGGGGGCGGGATACAACTGGACATGCTGTATGAATGCACTTATTTTATTGTTTTATCGTTATATTTATTGTTTTAATTTTGTACGCCACCCTGAGTCCCTAGGGATTGGGCGGCATATAAACTTTATTAATAAATAATAAATAAATAAATAATAATTTCTTTAAATCTGTGTAGGTAACAGATTCAAGAGGTGCAGGGGCTACTAAATTTTCAGCAATTTCAAATGCATCTTGACCACAAACACACAGCAGGGTGGCGGCCTTTAAACCATCTTCTCTCACTTGATTTACTCTGAAATAATTTTCTGCTCAGGCCACATAAGATTCCCATCTTTCTGGATGTGTAACATCAAACTCAGAAAGTTTCCCTTCTGACTTTTGAGTACTAAACATTGCAACACTAACCCTAATTCTTTAGTAGTTCTCTAATCACATTTTTTTTGCTGCTGTTTTATGTCTTTATGTATACACATTCATAGACACCCCACAATGGATTTTAAAGGTGTTTATCAAGAGCATGTGAAGGAAAAAAGAAAAAATAATTAGGGTATTCAGTCTATTGGTTGCAGGACTCAAAATAAAATGTCTTACACAAGATACAGCAGCAGTATTTTCTAATCTTGGCAACAACCAGTTGTGTAGACAATTCCCTGTAATGCCCATTCTATCTGTGGGAATTAAAGTCTAAATATCTGGAGGCTGCTTTGGTTGGAAAATAATGGTTTAACGAATCATGAAATATTTTCATTCACCTTGAGGTTGTCAGCTTCTACTTTGTGATCTTCATCTCTTGGCCTTGTCTTTTCAACAGCAGAATATTGTTCCCTGGTCTTGATAAATATTAGCCATACCAGATCGATCGACACATAGTTGAATCACACTATGCACATAATATTGGGTATAATAACCCCTGCTTTCTGTTGATCAGTTTTGAGTCATATTCCTCTACCATATCTATGAAGGCAAAATGCTCTACTGCAAGGGTATAAGAAAATAATTAGTAATACTTACCTGTCAATCAATGCAGATCTTAACTGATGCTATAAACAACAGAGTTTGCTCTATAGACATCTGTGTATTAGGACAGTCAGAAACTTGCTAGATAACAATTTCAATCTGCTTCAGGCCTGGATACAAGAATGTTCCTCTCTTGCTCTTCCAGAGTGTCACAAAATTCCCTGCTTTACAGCTGAATCAAAAGGATTCAATCTATCCCGTATGATCTAGTCAATCCTCAATAAGATTAGGGCTCAACTGGTAGGTGCATAGCCTCCTCTGTAAATGGGGCAAGCTCTCCTCTTCAGAATGTAGCTGTGGTATTCCAAAGCAGGCAGTGCGACATATTGTGGAACAATGTCCTCTGAGTGTATATCAGGGAAACCCCAGAGACATTCAGTATTCAACTCCATCATGTATTGAGTATATAGTCTGCTTTTGAATTTGTAAATAGAGTAGTTTCATATTTGCTCATTGAGAATGTATTGTGATGTGCTTTTTAACATTTAACATTTATTTAACCATACATACATACATACATACATACATACATACATACATACATACATACGGATAAATCAGTATTTCCACTAAGATGGTACTGGTGATTGTGTTCATGTTCAGGAAAATTAGGCACATTACTTGACACTACTAGCAAGATTTGATTTAGCTAGAATTGCATGGTTATTGCAGTGAACCTGCTATCTACTTCTTATACATGTTCAAATTTAGAATGTTTATCTTCTGATCATTTGAATGTTGAAAATGAGGAAGAAATCATTCCTGGCTAACTGCTGGATCCTACTGGCCAATCATAGGAAACTTCTATAAGCTGAAGCCTCTTGGCCTAAGGGCAAGTTATTTGCTCAGTGGCTTTTAAAAGATGTCAGCAAAATGACAAAAACATCACTGTTGGTTACAATTCATTTCAAAGAACCTAAAGGATCTAGGAGAAAATAGGTCACATGCACTTCATCTCATGTCACATGCTTCCTATCGAGAGGCCAATGAGGTTTTAGACCTCTATACATTTGAACAAGATAATTTTATCCATTCACATTTTCATCTCTTCTCAATATGAAAAGAGTGACCATCTGTTTGAAACCCACATCAGTCTAAATAATTTCTAAAGCAGCTTTTCCTTTTGGAGGTAAGAAGACTGCATATACTGTTCTGATAGAATATGGTGGTTGTTGATGTCTCTCTGAAGAAGAGCAAAATATGTGTCTTATTAGAAAGTATGAAAAGATGAATCCTAAATTCTTCTAAAAGATATTCTAAATATTTTTTTCAAAATTTTAATGGCAGGAAATCTAAAATAAGGTATATTTAAAAGAAAACAGAAGATAATTAATTGAAATATTTTAAATGAATAAATGTCATTCTTTCTACTTGTATTTTGGTATAATAGTTTGCATATCTATGGATACGGACCTTTATGATATGTTATGTTTAAATTAATGAGGGATAAAATACTTTCTCAACATAACATTTTCATATATGATTGTATAGTTAATCTAAAAATAGAAAGCATATTATTGTAAATTATATATTATTTATCAAAACTGATAAAAATAATTTATGAGAAAAAATCCAAACAAAATTCTAACAGAAAGTTACAATATATTGCTATAAATGCATGTGGGGACTAATAGCCTTTTATTTTTTATCTCAATCTCTTTTATGGGAGAAAGCATGCCAGTTAGTATTAAAGGAGGCGGGGTTGTTTTTTAAAAATTGCCTGATCAAATTACATTTCAAAAACTACGGTTATGATATCAGTTTGAAAATAGCTATTTGTTTTAATATCTCACAAGAGCAACCTAAAAAATCTGAAATAAGGGTAATGTTGATTTCAATGAATACGTAAATAATTTTAGAGTAATTGTTTTGTGAAGTGTGCTGGAAATTAATATATCAAATTTTAGTTACGTATTTTCTTTGACATTTTCTTTACTTCATTTAATTTTCACTCATCATTTTTATTGTTACACAGTTATCTTAAATGAATTTGATGTTATGTATCCTATAAAATTTAGATACACAGCAGTTATATTATCAGAAGAATGTTAAACAAAGATTAAAATTGGTGATAATTTTAACTTAATTTTACTTAAATGTTAAATTTAATAGAAATTGTAACTTGGGAGAGATAAGTATGATAGATAGATAGATAGATAGATAGATAGATAGATAGATAGATAGATAGATAGATAGATTTTCTTTATACTATCAAAATCATAGATAATTTGTTTTATCAATTAAAGCCTTAATATAGTTAAGACAGTTGATATTAAAATATCATACAGCATATGAACCAAAAGTAAAGAAATGCTCAAGCTGCATATGCTCATTCCCCTGTTTCAGTGAAGCATAAGAATTATAAGATACACAATATACAACACTAATTAATCTTATTAATTCTTATTACCTAATAACTGGAATTATGACTGTAGCATTAAATTAATTATAAATACAAATATTCCATTTTTTTCCAAATCAGTTGTACATCTAAACTGTTTGAATATTATTTGTTTCTTGGAACAAACTGTACTCTTGTGGTTCCATAAAATCAGAGAAATATGTATTAAATCCCTGTGCCTTAATTTGGATTCAGATTGACTGAGTTTAAATCTTAATTCCTTGTCAGTATGGTTAAAATATCAGTTTAAAGAATACATTAAACATCTGTGTGAAATATTAGAAACAAAGCTGGGGTTTATTTGTATCCATGCTAGTGCAGAAATAAAATGAGAGGTTTCTTGAAGTTCACATAGAAAATGGCATCCATATCTTTTTCATCTAATATCAAATTGTAATAGAATAAAATAGAAATGGAATAGAGCTGGAAAATAGAAATATTTCCTATTGTCAAATCTGCTGGAACACATACAGACTAATTCACATTATAATTGTAAAAGAAAGTGTGAAAGTGTTTTTCATTTCTGAATGTAATTAAATTAATGGCGTTTTAGTTATTTTGCAAAAGAATCAATATCAGAGTATGGCAGATAATAAATATAGTCTTAAACATTTTACTATTCAAGTTTTTCAAAATCTGTATATGATTTTGATTAATAGTTTAAACCTATATAGAGATATAGAAAATGTGGAAATTATGTACTTATAAAACATCTCTATAAATAAACACTGGTGCACTAAGAATATGGCAGCATTGATGGAGAACTCTGGAGATTAATCTGACAGGCGGGTGCAGACATTTCATTTCAGATTTTGGAGGTGGGTTCCATGAAGGGTAGGGAATCCTAGAAATATCTAAAGCTAATCCCTGATGTAGATAGCATTTACACACATCTTTTAAAATATTTTTTTTAAATAACAGGAGAATTCTTTATAATAATTTTCATTTTATGTCTTAAATTAAAACAATGACATAGTAATCATATACTTCCCCCCCTTTCTCTGAATACATATGCACACATGCACCACGCCCACATATGCCCACATTTGTCTTTAGACAAAGATGGATTTTCATTTCTAGGTCACAGAACCTGTAAAGCAGGGGTGTCAAACTCGCAACATCAGGCGATGTGTTGCGATGTATCGCGTTTTTTTCCATTGCCGGCAATGGGTTGGGTGCAGTTTTGCCATGATGCATCCGGCCCGTGGGCCGGCAGTTTGACACCCCACCTATAAACTGTTAATAATAAGAGTCCGTAGCTGTTCACATGGAGTGATGTTGGTGGATATTCTGAGAGAAGTAGCCCTAGAGCTGGTAGCTTTAAATTGTCTATGCTGAGGATGGCTGGGACTGACTGCCTTGCCTGGGTCCCTGGAGGATTCTTTTAACCAAAAAGGGAATTAGGCAGATGTTCCTGAGAATAGTTCCTGCACTGCATCCACTCTCCTTAGTTTTTTTATTTCTTAAAGAAAACAATGAAATGCCAGGATTGCTAGTAGAGTAAGTTTTATTTATCCTGTGTCTGATGTTCCTGCCCCCTACTTGCTGAGCATTCCATATCCATCAATTTGTTGCTGTTTCTTCCAGTGTCCCAGCATGCAGGTCAGTATCATCCTCAGGCACAGGTCTGAACAGGCAATTTAAAACAAAGGATGGACTTGATAATGAAAAATGGATTGATGGCAGACATGGATTCCCAGCAAAAAAAAAAAAAAAATCAAATCCCAATTCTAGCAGATCAATGAAGTCGTTTAGCTATGGTCAGCATCATTATCAAAGAAGATGTTATCTAGACAGGGCTTGGAACTTACTCCATGCTCTAAGACACATATAAATTCAAATGGTTTATGCTGGGTGAATGACAGTGAAGTTTGTCCAGATGTTCACAGCAAATTTCATTTAGACATGCACCAAATTTTAATAGTAACAAATACATATACAATTATATCATCAAGGAAAATTACATTATCAGTTGATTGAATCTTCATTGTTTTTTACAGTCTATAGGAACTTAATTCAGTGAATCAATGGGACAGTGGTTTTCTTCAGCCATCTAATACATGCTTTGCTTATTTTACATAAATTTCTGTGTTTTATTGAAATATAAATACAATCCTACACAAAATGAAGCTCTCTGAAATGAATGGTAGCTAAGCAGAATTAATTGCACATTAGATAACTCCTAAATATCGGGTTATTTTAAAACTCAAAGACTCACTATGATTTTAATTCAGCTTGAGACTTAGGTGAAGTGTTAGGTGACACGTTTAGAGATGGCTATGAAGGTCAGGATGCAAGCCAAATATTTGAAGGGTACATACTGATTATTGATGTCTGTTAAAATCTGGAAGGTGGTCTATTTATCTAAAAATCAATATGAGTTAGGTAACATAAATACATGCACGTGACCCAAATTCACTTCAGCAATATAATTCAGATAAAATATTAGTCTTTTGTACTTATGGTTAACAATTAGAGCAAAATTATCTCGTTTTCCTACTTCAAATCACTCAAAGTTCTTTCTTATACTTTTCTCTGATATCAAAGTCTTTTGGTTAATTTTATATATTCCCTTTTCTCTAAAGTTTAAAGCAGTTTACTTGGGTATCTTCATTTTATCCCCATAATATGATGAGCCAGTTTGGTCAAGTGATTAAGGCACCAGGCAAGAAAGCAGGAGGCCATGAGTTCAAGTCCCTCCTTAGCAATGAAAACCAACTGGGTGATTTTGGGCCAGTCATTCTCTCTCAGCCCAATCTACCTCACTGCATTGTTGTTGTTGGGAAAGTAGTAGTAGGAAGATATGTTAGATATGTTCACCACCTTGAGTTATTTGTAAAAATAATGAAGATATATTAAATAAAAACAATCCTATGAGGTAGGCTGAATTGACAAGAAAACATTGTAGTATGGCTGAGAGTAGACTAGCACCTTGGTCTGCCCAGTCTTCATCTAACATCACTCTGGCTTACTGACAACTTTAATCTGTAGCAAGAGGAAGGAGACAGAATACATGTCCTACTGGCCTTGGCTCCTATGGTAGTTCTGGAAGCTGTTTCAAAATGAAGAAGAAATTTGTTTAGTTTGCATTTGAAGAAGGTAATTTGAGCCAGTGTTTTCAGCTTCACTGCTCCTCGAAGCACGAAGCTGAAAACACCAGCCTGAAGATGACGAATGGGACTTCATCGAAACGTCGCCAAGACACTTCCAATTTTACACAGGAGAAAACCCGAATAACCGAAGACCTACATATATATATATATATATATATATATATATATATATATATATATATATATATATAACAATATAAAATAGTGCATTGTGTTAAGGAAATTGTTTGGAAAGGGGAGATGTGTTAGAAATAAAATATAGTTATTAAGGAAATAATCTTAAAACATTAAAAATTGCATATCAAAACATTCACTGCAATAGCATACTACATATTTTCAAGTCATCCAGATCAGATTACAGTGATAATAATCTCTATATGTTTTAAAATGTTACTTATTGACACAAATTCATGCTGTGGTCATAAGTGGCATGGATTATTAAATACAGAGCCATATCTTGATTACTTTCCCAGAGCACATGCATTCAAATGCAACATTACATTTCAAAAGATTAAAAATAAGGCAAATCTGCAAATGAAATGAGGCCATCGAGATTGCTTTGCTCTTGGACTGAGAGGATTTGAGGATCTGGACTAGATCAACAGATTGGAGGCA